ACAAAATATCATAAATTGTACCGGGGAGACATTTGTCGATTTGGCCGCGATATTTACAAAATTAAGCAAAACTCTTACCCCGGAGCAAAAACATTTTAAACAATTTTTATTCGACAACAAAAATAATAATAATACCAAGCTAACGGCTAACATATTTCAAGATATTTTGTTCGAAAGTATCGACTTTTGGAACTCAGCATTGACAGAAATCCACCCTGATGCTTTCGGTCAAAATTACTATTATACAAAATCATTTAGCTTTTGGGATGGTTTGTCACTAACACCACATGCTTTATTTGATGTTGTTATGAGGTAGGGTAACCAAGTTATATTATAAATTATATATTCTGAACACTAAAATGAATTTTGTTACTACAGTCTATTATAATCTATTTACAGATTTGAAGTGGTTGAAAAAGTCGAACTAGTCTCGATCAATTTTCGTGGACTGGATGTTGGTGTTTTTCGCCAGGGTCATCAAAAACATTTGAATTCGTTTAAGTTATGGGGAAATTCTAATTTTCAAAAATTGAATGGCAATATATTCAGCCACCTAACTGCGCTCACTGAGTTGTTTTTGTTTGCAAACGACCTCATTTATATTGGCGATAATGCGTTCGCCATGGACGAACCCAGTAACTCTACCCTGCACATTACACTTTTCGGTAATGAACATCTTACGCCATCAAGTTTCGCGCGTAATTCACTGATTGGGATCAATCGCCCCACCTCAATCGATTTGTCAAATTCTGTTGCAATTTCAAAAATAAATTATTTTCCGGAAGACGTGTTTTGGCCATTTTTTGCGGCCAACCCGTTAAATGTGATTGATGCATTTGATAGCAGCAATTTCGATTGCCAGGATTGTAAATCATACTGGCTCAAACAGCGCGTGTTGTTCAAACGTATTCCTGATTTAAAATGCTCGAACGGAAAGGCAGTCGACGATCCTGATAATTTTATAAACTGTCATACCGAAGGCTCTTATTCGGAAATGTCGGTTGTTAATAGAATTGACCACGGTGATGGTGCCAATTTTAATTTAAACTCAATAATTATTGAGGAGGGTAACAGAAAGAAAATTATTGTTGGCGACAAAATTAAGTACAATAAAAATCTTTAAACGTTTTGTATGCTATAACAAAATGAATTGATTAAAAGGAATTAATTTTAAATGGACGATGTTCATGGTAGTTTATTAATATAACAACAAATTATTTAATTATTTATTATTTAATGTTTAATAGGAAAATTAATATTTAAAATTACTTGTAACTTTAATTATTAAGTAAGAATTTACAATATTTATATTTGATATTGATACGCTCCTACTGTTAGCTAATATTACGTAAGCCACTCCCTCTCTGTCCTAATGGTTAGCCATAGGTTTTGGTAAGCCTTAGCTATACTGTATAGACTGGTGTGAGACCTACACTGACATGGGGAGTTGGGTTGGAGGTGAGGTTGAGATAAGTTGAGAGTCTAATACTCTCAATTGACAAACTTATTTGTATTCACTTTTATTTTACTTGATATTCAATAAATACTTATATGTGCCGAATGAGTGGCTAATTTAATATCGTCGGCTCTTCGGGCCTTAACAATATTATACCTTGTTATAAATTTCTATTTAAAATTATAAATTAGTCTGGATACAATTTAGTGTGGCCCAATAAAAAATGCAAACAATTTATTTAAAATTAAATAAATAATTTATTAATACAGAGAAATTTAATCTAACAAATTGGACAACGGCTTAGAATAATTTAGTAAAAATATAAAGATATGTCTAAGATAATCCTTAGATATTATAGAAAATTATGGGAATAGTGGCCTGGGCTTATATGGGGGTCGGGAGGCGTGCGGGCAGTGTTTGTGTTTTGTATGGGTTGATACTCCATTAAGAATCTCATAGAAGGCGCCGCCACCTATTGAATTCTGGTTGACATTACAGCTCTATGGGATTTTACTATTGAAAGTCTGTATAAAAACCTCCCGCACGCCTCCCAACCCCCATATAAGCCCAGGCCACTATTCCCATAATTTTCTAAAATATCTAAGGATTATCTTAAACATATCCTTATATTTTTAATAAATTATTCTGAGCCGTTGTCCAATTGTAAGATTTTAAATTAAAAATATTTGATTTAAAAATTATTTATAAAATTTAAATAATGAATCGTATTAGAAAATTATGTCCAATATTAATCATGTTAGTAAATTTTTAACAAAGAATATTAAATTCAATTCTTATATTGATATTTCAAATATTTTCAAAAGTCTTATAAGTGCAAAATTTACAAAATCCTAATACAACCTTTATAATATTACAGAGACTGTTCAATATTATAGTATCGCAAAGGTGCTATGTGAAATGACCCCAAGTGTGCACTATTGCCATTCAAATAACTAACCAAGGTGAAATGAGGGATTAGAATTGCTTTTGACTTCTAATTTCAGGGCTAATATTGCTGTCAATTACGTGGACGTCATCTCTGACCGTGAATGCAGTCGAGCTTATGATTAATAATACGAATCCCTTGTAAATCATCTTGATCATTGATTTGCTATTAATATATAATTATAAATTTTTTATTGAATATACAATATAAATTAATTAACTTGGCGAATTTAATTAGAAATAAAATACTGGAACATACAGTAACGGCTAGTGTAATAATTTGCAAGTATACAATTTAAACTTATATTTGTTATATAAGTCACAATATTTGTTATAGGGTAAAATTATATTTTTATGTTCATCTATAATTGTAATTTTAAAAAGTTGCTTTTAATTACTATAGAACTAAAATGATCTTAGAATTTATACGTTAAAATTATCAGCTAGCGCACAAATTAGTGCAAGAAAAATTGCATGTTAAATTATCGACATGTGAAAATCGATATGAATTTTATGATTAACTTAATAAATTATCAGTTTTTAATCCAGGGACATTTAAGCATAAGTGTTTGTATAAGTTACCCATAAAATTCATATCGATTTTCACATGTCGATAATTTAACATGCAATAGATTTCCTAATAGATTATTTATAATTGTGTGTTAAGGCATTGTTCACATATTACGTTCGCACTTTTTGAAAAATATTGACCCCCTCCCCCCCCTTTAGCATTAAGAAATTTTCAAATAAGCTATACATTTACATAAGTTACTGTTAATTCATTTAATACAGTTTGAAAGTAAATTAAAATTGTTGTGTGTTAAATTATTTTATGAGCTTATGTTTTAAAACTGTTAATATAAATTGTCTAGATTAGTATTATATTTAAAAAGTGAGCAATTTTGAGTATTTATCGAAAAAACATGCTGCAAGTTAATTTTTAATTTTATTATTTATTTTTAGTTTCTCTCTCTCTCTCTCTCTCTCTCTCTCTCTCTCTCGCACACACAGACACACACACACACATTCACTCACTCACACACATTTAAATTAATTAGTGTAACAAATATGGGAACTGTATATTACCGGCGGGATTGGACGCAGCCTTGAGTTGACAATTAAGGGGACATTCAGCCACCGGTACGAGTGCTGTACTAAACTCATTATTACTGCAAATGTCGGCATTGTTATAGCAATGACACCATTATTGCAAAATGCGGCATTCAATTCACAAATATAGCACTTCACACAATCTGCGTACAAATAATTAAGCAAGCTAATTAGGCTACTTGAAAGTTTATTACACATTTTAATACAAACCATAGTTTTGTATTAGTGTTGAGATGATTATAATAATGTAGACAATTAAGTTCATTTTGAAAGATTGCAGCTAGTTTAAAAAGTTTAAGATTTTTGTTTAAAATGTTACTTTAAAAGTGTTTTGTGTATGAGTTACACAAAACTAGTGAAATAATTGTAGTAAAGAATGAAATGTTTGTTTTGTGGACTAAACACACAATTTATGGGTAATAATGACAACGCGTTTCTAAAATTACAATCACTTATAAGGTGTGAAATATAATAGTGTTATGTAATGTGAATATAAATTGATTGAAAATATAATGTTTAATAAGAATGTAATTATATTATAATTAGATTAGTAATCATGATTTGTGTATTCATAACGTAATAATTTTATTAAATATTATAAATTAAATTTAAGTTTAGATTTCATTTGTCAGGATTTCTAGACAAAAAGTTTAAATTGAATAAATAAATAAATTTGTAAACAATAGTCCTGTGTATTTTAATTGACTTGATCATAATAAACAAGCTCAATTAATATTTAATTAAGTGAATACGTGAGTTACTGGTGCTGACCTAGATCCGTCAAACCTTACAATATTATTATTTAAATTATGATATAATATATCCATTATATTATGAAAATAATTAAAGTCAAAAAATTTTTATTATTGAATAGAACATATTGATATACTGTATATTAACTTCAGTTAACCTTGTTTATAAAATAAACTATTATGTGTTAATAACATTAAATAATATTGACAATTTATAAATTATGGACATCTCCAAAAGTTGGCAATCATTTTATTTAACTTATTCGACCTTTATTATATATTAAATGTCAATAAAAATCTTATTTTAATTAAATACGGGGAATTCACTTTTTATAACTTGAATTCATTTCCTTGGTTAATTCGCACTAACCACAAGCACATTCAAATGTCCCAGCAGAATTTCTACATATCTTGTGGCTCCATAAAGAAACATTGCTTCTCCAGTTTGTTTACCTTCACTGATATGAATAGCGTACAAGTCACCAGTATAATAAATATCCGTTTGAATCATATAACTCAATTCGTTATAGCATTCATTCCTATGACGACCATCAATGTGACCAAGGCATGAATTTGTTTCGATAGTTGTCGAATAATTTTTCATATGCTCTACGATTATATTTGCAAGATTAACGCACGTCTCATTTGTCAGCACGTTACAAATGTCAATATATGATGTTGATTTACTGGCGTCTATTATATTGGTGATTGTTTCCTGAAATAATTTGCATACCATGCTAATCAGTGTTTGACTTAAAATTGATTAACTATTAAAAAGCTTAAATATTTAATAACTTAGTACAGTTACTAACTTATGAATATTTCATACAAATAGTAACCACTGGTCTCCACTACTAATATTTACCCTGGTTAGGGTTCCCAAATCTCAAGATTCAAGCAGGACTTTCAAGGAATTAGTCATATGCTCAAGGAAATATTTTCAAAAAATATGACCATTTCGATGGACATCAAGGAAATTTATGATCAATTTTTAAAAAATCAAGGAACTTAAGGATATTTATGAGATAAAAATAAAGATTCTCAAGGAATTTAATTTTTGGATTTGGGAACGCTAACCCTGGTGTGAGTATTATTCAATTATTTATATCATTATTGAATAATTTAATAAATCTAATTATTAGCAAGAATTCAATAATTATTATAATCTAGTATTATACAATTATTTTATTTTGCTAATTACTTACTTGCTTAAGTGTTACTGGTTCATTTAGTTTGGGCCTATATAATCCCAGCACATATTCACGATATTGGAGCTTAATATAAGACTCAAACTCTACTGACATATATAGCTGGGATGCGGTTCCGTTCACTATAAACTGTCCGATCCACCCAATATGATCAGGGTACTTTGTGTCCAATTCCTTGACCATTAGTTCAGCCAACGATTGATTAGTGGGTTTGTCGACAAAGTCCATCATTTTGCTGATCACGTGGGCCTCCATTTCGGGGCTAATATTGCTGTCAATTACGTGGACGTCATCTCTGGCCGTGAATGCAGTCGAGGATATGATTAATAATACGAATCCCTTGTAAATCATCTTGATCATTGTGTTGCTATTAATATATAATTATATTTTTTGAGTAAATATACAATATAAATTAATTAACTTGACCAATTTAATTAGAAATAAAATACTGGAACATACAGTAACGGTTAGTGTAATAATTTTCAAGAATAAAATTTACACTTATATTTATAATATAAGTGTCAATATTTGTTATAAATTAAAATTATATTTTTTTGCTCATTTATAATAGTAATTTTAAAAAGTTGCTTTTAATTGCTATAGAATTAAAATGATTTTTGAATTTATATATAAATATTATCAGTATTTAATCCAGGGCCATTTATGCTTAAGTGTTTGCATAAGTTAATCTTAAAATTCATATCGATTTTCCCATGTCAATAATTTAATAAAATACATTGATTATGTATAACACTTATTAAATATAGTGTAACAAATACAAAATACCTGTCGTTCATTTTAATACCCGGATATATATTACGATATTGTAAATAACATGATCAAACTTAAATCCTTTTAATCGGGGTATTTATGGGAAACTTCTGATATTAGAAATAAAATGTTTATATAAGATTTATAATGATCCTTTTAAAAATATTGATTGATAAATAAAAATCATCTATTAGATAAAATAATTTTATATTTACTAAATAACTAAATGTAAAAAATTATTTTGCAATTTATGTAACCAAGTGATTATCATAAAAATTAAAACTACATAAATCTTTATTTTCTATAAACTTTTATTTATTTTATAAACTTGTAAATTTTTAAAATAATATTTTCTAATAAAATCAAAGACCTCAATTTTATATTTAAATTCAAAAATATAAAACATAAATAAAATATAATAAAATATAAATTAAATAATCTCTAAATTATAAGTTGCGTTTTAAAAGATCAACAGTTTATACTTATATCACTAATTAAATAAAATTAAAAATTATCTAAAATTTATGAGAATTTCAAAACACATTCACCATAAAAAACACATGGTTTCTTATATTAATCAATTATTAATGCAATTTTCACTTTAAATATATTTATCAGCATCCTATTCAAAACTCTATAAACATTTTATTTGTTTATTCAGGTGACATTTAAATTATTTTCCCCTGTTAATTTTCTAATTAATAACCTCTCTCTCTCTCTCTCTCTCTCTCTCTCTCTCTTAACCTGTATTTGAATTATAATTAGAAATGACAACATATATCGATCTCAATTTAAATGAGAAGTCTCAACTCAGTAAGCGCAGTTAGGTGGATGAATATATTGCCATTCAATTTTTGAAAATTTAAATTTGAATCTATATTAATCAATTTTATTATTGCAAAATCAGCCAGGTGGGTTGATTCCCAATGGAATATTTTGTAAACAACTTAAATTATATATCAATAATTCACTACTATATAAATAGCTATTTTTAATTAATTTTATTTTAAAAATATTTACTTTTAACCAATAAAACATGGTATAATAAGTAAAGTTAAATATGAAATTATTACTAGGTAGGTATCAATATATTTTAATATATTTGAGAATATATTTTTTTAAATTTTATATTTTAGAAATATTTGGCCTATTTGCAATAATTGCAAACATTAAGCTTGTCAGTTGTAATTGTACCGATCCAAGTGCAATATTACCCTGTACAGGTTGTGAGCAAAATATCATAGATTGTACCGGAGAGACATTTGTCGATTTGGACGCGATATTTACAAAATTAAGCAAAACTCTGACTCCGGAGCAAAAACATTTTAAACAATTTATATTCAACAACCCTAATAATACCAAACTAACGGCTAACTTATTTCAAGATATTTTGTTCGAAAGTATCTTCTTCTATTCCTCAGAATTGACAGAAATCCACCCTGATGCTTTCGGTCAGAATTACTATTATACAAAATCATTTGGGTTTTCGAATGATTGGTCACTAACAGCACCGCATATTTTATTCGATGTGGTTATGAGGTAGAGTAACAAAGTTATATGCTAATTTCTATTTTCTGAAAACTAAAATGAATCTTGTTACTACAGTCTTTTATAATCAATTTACAGATTTGAATTGGCTGAAGAGGTCAGTCTTGGTGCTGTCAATTTAACTGGACTAGATGTTGGTGTTTTTCGCCAGGGTCATCAAAAACATTAAAAATTGCTTAATTTAGATTCAAATTTAAATTTTCAAAAATTGAATGGCAATATATTCATCCACCTAACTGCGCTTACTGAGTTGAGTTTTTTTTCAAACGACCTCACTTACATTGGCGATAATGCGTTCGCCATGGACGAACCCAGTAACTCGACCCTGCACATTTCACTTCGCGACAATCACTATCTTACGCCATCAAGTTTCGCGCGTAATTCATTGATCGGGATCAATCGACCCACCTCAATTGATTTGTCAAATACGCCTGCAATTTCAAAAATAACTTATTTTCCCGAAGACGTGTTTTGGCCATTTTTTGCGGCCAACCCGTTAAATGTGATTGATGAATTTGATAGCACCAATTTCGATTGCCAGGATTGTAAATTGTACTGGCTCAAACAGCGCGCGTTGTTCAAACGTATTCCCGATTTAAATTGCTCGAACGGAAAGGCAGTCGACGATCCTGATAATTTTATAAACTGTCATATTGGAGGCTCTTACTCACAAATGCCACTTGTTGATAGAATTGAGCATGGTGATAATGTTAATGTTAATTTGAAACCAATTATTATTGAGGATGGTAACAGAAAGAAAATTATTGTTGGCGACAATATTAATTACATTAAAAATCTTTAAATATTTTTGTATTTCATAACACAATGAATTTAATAAAAGGAATTAATTTTAAATAGATGATGTTCATGGTAGTCTATTAATATAACAACAAATTAATTAATTAATTATTATTGAATGTTTAATATGAAAATTAATAATTTAAAATTACTTGTAACAATTTACAAGATTTCCCTTTTATATTTCACCTAGTTATAAATTGCTATTTACAAGTATAAATTAGTCTGGGCATTCCCGTGTATGAAGGTTTGGTGCCTGATGCTCCCCCTGGAGGACAGACATACATGTGCCCAATGAGGTATAAGGAGGACAGCACGGAAACCCAGGACCTTTTGTCATGGGAGTGAGTGGAGATTAAAAGTGATAGTAATGATGCGTATGATTATCTGTGCGGACGGGTAGGTATGCTTCAAAGAGTATGAATTTGTAAAATTTTTGTGTGAAACACAAAATAAAAAAGTTTTATTCACTAAAATGTGTATTACTATAAGGATTGACACTAAATGGTACGCCAAATGGCAATCAATAACATGTAATTAACAAATGAAAACTTCATATACAATGACATGCAGTACAGTGTGTGAGACATATAAGTATATACTGTATATACATTTATAGACATATAAGTATATACATGTGAGTATATACTGCAAAATTCATGTGTGTTTATGGTATACGTGAGTGACATAAACGAGAATATTCTTTCGAAAAGTCAGTTATTATTATTAACACAGAATTTGGATTTTATTTAACTGTATATGCGATAGAAATAAAGTAAAAGTATTGTATATTTTGGCTAAAATTCTGTGTATTTTTTCATGAGTTTTAAACCAACTTTAAGTATGACTCAAAACAAACCGATGAAAGTGTTTACGGAAAGTAAGAATAGGATGACCGCCACTCTTGCCAACAGACCCGTTAAGGCTATGGGGCCGGTAGTCCTGTCACACGACATACCCGCTGGGACTCAGTTGACGTTTGTGGACATCGCCCACAGTTTGGCCACAATTCATGTCAACTCCTCACTCTGAAACTCTCTCTCTCTCTCTCTAATCAATTAAATACTTTTTATTAAAAATACAATTAACGAAATCACACGAAACCCACATAAAATAGTAGACACTTAATGGAGACAATGAGCGACAGTCGCAGAGGTGGGCAATGGTTACAGAAATGGCGATCACATATGCATTCGTCAATACGGGCGCCGATCTTGAAGTCCGTCCGACATTTGAAACCTTTTGTCAGATCATTAGCGCACAAAACGCGACCATTTGATCACTTGACTTACGATGTGAGATATTAGAAAGGTTCATTTTAAAATGATAATTGAGTTAATGGTAAAATGTAAAATATCAAAAAATATTTTTTAAACGCACATTCCAATGTAAAAATTTCAAATAAGCTATATAATTATATAGGTTATTGCTAATTTATTTATTACAGTTTGAAACAAATTAAAATTTTTGTTTGCTAAATTATTTTATGAATTTATATTTGTAAAACAGTAAATATAAATTGACTGGTTTAGTATTATATTTAAAAAGTTAGCTATTTATATTATTTTTATAGAATACATGCTTCAACTTAAAGGATACGGTCGGATTCGGCCTAAGCTGGCACCCGGGATATTATGATTAATTCTTATAAAAATATTTAACCCTGAGTCCGAATATGTCACGTATGTTGTCCTGTGACCTCGGGTTAGGCCGCAGTGACCACTTTTGTCGGGAATATTTCTTTAAAAAAATACCAACAAATGATATATGAAATCAATGTGGAATTTAACGTAGAATAAGAGTATTTTACTGTATTTAACATTAAATTAATATTTACTGATTTAAATTAATATTAAACTACCAAATAATCTCTTGATCAAATTCCCTTAATGGACCCTTCGTTGCCCCTGATAGGGCAAACTCTTCCCCCACACCAGGTGCATTTCCGCATCCGGGACAGGACAGAGTATTGTCCCGTCCCGGCGGCGAAAATCGCAACACATCGCCGTCCGTCCCCAAACTGTCGTTTTCGGCCCGGGGATCGGGCCGATCACGAGCGCCATCATCGGCATTGGGCCGGTCTTCACCAGTAGGCTTTTCTACATCCACCGGGGCGCTGGTGGCAGACCCCGAGTGGACAGAAACTGTTTGACCATAATTTCGCTTCATTTCAGCAGATGATATGAAACGGAAAATTAATAATTATAAAAAAATTATATTTATTAATTTGCCTTTTCATATCATCTGTTAAAATGAAGGGTTTTAAATATATTTTAATTATTTTCGTCAATAAATAACGTTTATATCATAAGAAAAATACTTTTCTAAAAAAAT